GCGGCGTGGTGGCGGGTCTTCTGGGCTCGTTGCAGACACGGAGCGGGCGCTGCGCCTCTTGGAGGACTACCGGGCGAAGCTCAGCCAGGCGGAGGACCGGCCGCTGCGGAGCTCGGTGGAGCGGGTCATCGGCATCTTCCAGAGCAGCCTCTTCCAGGCGCTGATCGGTGGGTCTCCCCCCTTCCCCTCCCTCCCTCTCCCTCCCTCCCTTCCACCTACCTTTGGCATGGGGGGGGGCTGGCGCCGCCGCCCTTGGGCTGAGCCGAGGGGCCACCCAACCACCCACCCGGTGTGCGCGAGAGGGGAGGAATGGCCGCACTCCCCCGGCAGCGCCTTTCTTGCCATGGGAAAGCACCCTGCCACTTTCCTTGTGGTTGTGTGCCCCTGCCAGCGGGGGGGAAGTAGCGTGTTTGAGTTAGGAGGTCCCGAACTCAGACAAGGGAGTCTGTCCTCCATCTTTGCCAGCCAAGAGGAATGGAAAGAACCCTTTGAGTGTATTTTAACGAAGCCCAGGTTGTTAGACTGTAAGCTCTGTGCTCCCTAAAGCAGTGGTCCCCAACCTTGGACCTCCAGATGTTCTTGAATTTCAACTCCCAGAAATCCTGGCCAGCAGAGCTGGTGGTGAAGGCTTCTGGGAGTTGTAGTCCAAGAACATCTGGAGGCCCAAGGTTGGGGACCACTGCCCTAAAGCCCTCCTTCTGCATCCTTGCTTGCATTTCTTTGGAGCCAGCTTCTTAGCTCCTTATACTCCTCCAGTTACTTTCTTCTGGGCAAGCCACCTGGGCACAATTTTCTGTGATAGCTTTCTTCCTGGGGCTTCTTAGCCAGGCTGGTGGGTTCCTGGACCTTCTGCTTTTTTATCCTCAAAGGTGGTGTTTATTGCTGTGGGACTGACAAGTACCTTCCAAGCAGTTTTAATAGATTTTACTCCAGATGTTGCTTTCTAACTTCACTTGTATCATTTCTATTATGTTGAAGGAGTTTCTGGCTTTTAAGTCAAACATGTCTCTGTTACAGTTTTCTGCACTTTGTTTCATTTTACTTATACATAGTCACCTTTGATAGAGGAAGGGGTCATTGTTTACTGTTTTCCTAATCCAGCCTAGGACTACAGATGCAAGGTGGCTCTTTGATTGTCCCTTTGCCCGATAGGTTTCACTGAATGCTCCTGGACTATGTTCCCCATTTGTGTAATCAAAAACTTTCTCACCCTTATTTCTCAGGGAGGATTCAAACTGAACAGAATGCTCTCTGTCACCAGTTTTTCTTCCAAGGTCCAGTTTAAAAGCTGCTGTGTTGCCCTTTTTATGCCTGACTCTAGCAGTGTGGTCCTACTTTGGATCAAAGGGAACCCAAACCTTTGTGCTTGTCTGGCTTGCCTCATAATATACCCAGCCAAAAGGCTATTAAGCTTAACGTCTTTCCTTTTGCCTGTCCTGAACCTCCCTCTACTCAGCAGTATTGGCTAATCTCAGGTATTAGGATGACGATGAAAGCAGGAGTCTAGTATATCTGTATCTTTCTTCTCCTTATCCTACTTAACTTGCGTACTTCAGTCATGTCACCCATACCTTACTTTTCCTCCCTAAAGTGGCCGCCTAGAGTGGTCGAAATGACTAGATAGGCGGGGTATAAATACAATAAATAAATAAATAAAGGACTGTACAGCGGTGCCTCACTAGACAGTTACCCCGCATGACAGTTTTTTCGCTAGACGTTTACTTTTTGTAGTTGCTATAGCGATTTGCAAAACAGTGATTCCTATGGGGGAATTTTGCTGGCCAATGTTTGGTCCCTGCTTCGCAAACCAATTTTCGCTAGACAATGATTTTGACAGCTGCCTCCGTGCTCGCAAACAGATGTTTTCGGGACCTAAGGTTCGCAAGACAGCAATTTAAACAGCTGATCGGCGGTTCGCAAAGCAGCTTTCCTATGGCCGATCTTCACTATACAACGACGATTCTTCCCCTTTGGAACACATTAAACAGGGTTCAATGCATTCCAATGGGCAAATGCTTTTCGCTAGACAATGATTTCGCTAAACAGCTATTTCAGTGGAACGGATTATCATCGTCTAGTGAGGCACCACTGTAACTGCTTCCTACAGAGGAGTTGTTCAAGCCCCTGAATTGCTTGGGTTGCCCGTTGCTGCATCTTCTCCAGCTAGATACAGTGGTGCCTTGCAGGACGATTTTAATTTATTCTGCGAATATCGTTGTCTTGTGAAAAAAAAGTCTTGCAATGTTCCCTATGGGAAATATCGCAAGATGAATGAAATGTAGTTGTCTTGCGAAGCATCGGTCTCAGGGAAAAACCCGTCTTGTGAAGCACGGCTATAGAAAAAACGTCTTGTGAGTCACCATAGCGATCACAAAAAACTAATCGTCTTGTGGATTAATCGTCCTGCGTGGCAATTGTCTTGGGAGGCACTACTGTAATTGCCTTTTCTGGTGTGTGTGTTGTGACCAGAATCATGTATTCTAGGTGTAGTTACATCATGTGCTTGTGGGGAAAGGATTATGGTCTTGGGGCTCTTTTCCTAACAACCTCCAAAATAGCTTTTACCTTTTTCACGGAAGATGCACACTGGGTTGACCTTTCCATTGAACTCTGCTCCTGGTTCCCAAGATTTCTTTCCTCCCCTGGTTGGTTGCCTCCTGTTCTTGTAATCACTTCCCCGGTTGGCCTCTCCCTTTCTTTTTATCTCAGAAAAACACAAAGAAGCTGAGACAGACAGTGTGGTTTGACTGATGATGATCTTAGGGTAGTCACTGTCTTTCAATTTATTTTGTTCACCCCCCTCTCTCTCACACACACACACACACACAAACACACACACATTCATGTACACACGCATCCCCCCACCCCCCCTTCTACAAACCAGCCACCATTCTCTGTTTGAAAAGTGTGGATCTTTCTGCTTTGGCACTTTGTTCAGAGGCAGGCTCATAAACCCCACACCCCAGCCTTGCTGGTTACCCATTGTTGCTTTACGAGTAGCTTTTGTGTTGTATACTGCTGTGTACCAAGAGGTGTAATTCTATTCTTTTGGAGTTTTCATCCCACACTGATCAAGCAGAATGCAGAAATTTTGCATTATGTGTTTTCTCCCAAAATGTATCTCTGTCCCCAGATATTCAAGAATTTTATGAGGTGACTTTACTCGACAATCCCAAAAGTATCAGCCGCTCGAAGCAAATCGACTTTGTCCAGCCTGTGAACACATGGGACTTCTCCAGCCTTCCAAGCACCACAGTGACTTCTGAAACGCTGCCCAGCAGCCTTAGTCCAGTCGCAGAGGTATGTAGGGCAATGGCGTGTTTCCTTCTGGGCTCTGGAACAACGAGCAGGATTGTTATCTCGAAGCCGTCTGTTATACGGAGTCATTGGTGGTGGGCAAGAGTGTCATTGCCAGATTCGTACCCTGTGGTTTGCCTGGATTCTTCCAAGGTGCCTGTTTCTTTTCTCAGTGGGGTTTGTTTGTTGCCAGGCCAGTGAATGTTCTGAAGTGGGATTTGACTTGTAGCCCAAAGATAGCAGGTCAGTGTAAGTGATCTTCTGCTGAAAGGCCAGTGGTCTTCCCTTCTCTCTGTGCCCAGGGCAGAGAGTACTTTGTCACCCACCATCTCTGAGGGGAAAGTCATCATGAAGGATCCTCGTCCAACCAAAAGAGTCAATAAACAAGCTTCATGCTGATCTGAAAATGTTTTAGGGCCAGCTTAAGTGTGAGTTTATTTGGCATCTGAGGCTGTTTTCTAGAATAGCGGCTGAGGTCTGGAGGGGGATTTTGATATGCCTCACATGTGAACATTTGTATTGACAAAAATGAGCTGTCATAATAGAACATTGACCTTAACAGATGGAATGAAAAAGGTAAAACTGGTGCTGATCTGGTAGGTGGTGGCGGTGCCCTCTTTATTTATCTCGTTGGTTCTTTGGTAGCAGCCTTTCTGTATTATTGAACCAGTCTGATTGCTTTCACACTAAGTATGTGTGAGTCCTGTGGGCATTTAATGCACTCTGTCATGCCATGTCAGGAAATGTTGACAATGTTGAGTTGAGATTCAACCAACATGAACATCTCAAGAGGTTGTCCATCATAATGGGGTCCTTTTGGTGGGACTTGGTTCTCAGAGGTAGATTGCCCCAAACGTTTCATTCGTTTATTCATTTTATTTTATTTATATACCACCCCACTAGTTCGTTCGTTTAGTCGTGTCCGACTCTTCGTGACCCCATGGACCAGAGCATGCCAGGCCCTCCTATCTTCCACTGCTTCCCGTAGTTGTGTCAATTTCATGTTGGTTGCTTCGCAGACACTGTCCAGCCATCTCATCCTCTGTCATCCCCTTCTCCTCTTGCCGTCACACTTTCCTAACATCAAGGTCTTTTCCAAGGAGTCTTCTCATGAGATGGCCAAAGTATTGGAACCTCAGCTTCAGGATCTGTCCTTCCAGTGAGCACTCAGGGTTGATTTCCTTTAGAATTGATAGGTTTGTTCTCCTTGCAGTCCAGGGGACTCTCAAGAGCCTCCTCCAGCACCACAATTCAAAGGCATCAATTCTTCGGCGGTCTGCATTCTTTATGGTCCAGCTCTCACTTCCATACATCACGACAGGAAAAACCATAGCTTTGACTATTCGGACTTTTGTAGGTAAGGTGATGTCTCTGCTTTTAAAGATGCTGTCAAGGTTTGTCATCGCTTTCCTCCCAAGAAGCAGGCGTCTTTTAATTTCGTGGCTGCTGTCTCCATCTACAGTGATCATGGAGCTCATGAAATTAAAATCCGTCACTGCCTCCATATCTTCCCCTTCTATTTCCCAGGATTCCTCCTCACTTTCTGCCATCAGAGTGGTATCATCTGCATATCAGAGGTTGTTGATATTTCTTCCGGCAATCTTAGTTCCGGCTTGGGATTCCTCCAGTCCAGCCTTCCGCATCATGTATTGTGCATATAAGTTAAATAAGCCGGGGGAACAATATACAGCCTTGTCGTATTCCTTTCCCTATTTTGAATCAATCAGTTGTTCCATATCCAGTTCTAACTGTTGCTTCTTGTCCCACGTATAAGTTTCTCAGGAGATAAATAAGGTGTTGAGGCACTCCCATTTCTTTAAGGACGTGCCATAGTTTGCTGTGGTCCACACAGTCAAAGGCTTTTTCATAGTCAATGAAGCAGAAGTAGATGTTTTTCTGGAACTCTCTGGCTTTCTCTATAATCCAGCGCATGTTTGGAATTTGGTCTCTAGTTCCTCTGCCCCTTCGGAATCCAGCTTGTACTTCTGGGAGTTCTTGGTCCACATCCTGCTGAAGCCTACCTTGGAGGATTTTGAGCATAATCTTGCTAGTGTGGGAAATGAGTGCAATTGTACGGTAGTTGGAGCATTCTTTGGCACTGCCCTTCTTGGGGATTGGTATGTAGACTGATCTTTTCCAGTCCTCTGGCCACTGTTGAGTTTTCCAAACTTGCTGGCATATTGAATGTAGCACCTTAAATAGTTATAGTGCTTGGTACTAGTGGGGTGGTCCCACTAGTACCAAGCACTATACCTGGAAAGTACAGCATATGAAAGCATATACCATATTTTTTCGTGTATGCTACTTTTTCCTAAAATCACTAAAAATTGAGGGGCATCTTATAGTCAGAAGTAAGCTGAGAACATGGAGAGAACAAAACAGCTGGTACCTTGCCTCTGTGAACAGGCTTCCTTCAGTCATGAGGCTTAGCTTCCTCCAGGAGACTTAGCTTCCTCCAATCACGAGCCTTATGGAACTGACATCAGCTGATGCTGAAAAAACCAATTGGAACACACCTTGTTGGTGACAGAGCCTGTAGGCTCAGATGCAGTAGGGACTCATAATGTCCGAGTGTTCTGAACCCAGAGACTGAATATTCAAAGCTAGATTTTCTTAATTTTTGGGTTAGAAAAGTACGGGGAGCATCTTACGAACAGGGGCATCTTATAAATAGAAAAATATGGTAGTAATAAATTAAATGAGCAGTTCAAAAATAGTAAAAACTTCAAGAGGCATAAATTGAAGAATAAAGGGTGGAACACTTGCTATAACAATTGATCTCTTTGATTTTCTGTGGTCTTGAAAAAGTAATGGAAGCAGTGGGATTATTGGAATTCCCACTGTGTTCCTATGGGAAGGGATATTCCCTTTTTCTTGTCTTACATCTATTGCCCATCAGCTTCTTTGACAGGCCTAGACTCATAGAAAGAGAAGGAAAGGGATTTCTCTGTCCACGCCTACCAGCTACAACTTGGTAAAATCTGTAAGACTTTGTTCTCCTCATTATCAGTTGTAAAAATATCCAAGCTCAAGGGGTCATAAGCAGTTGACAAGGCCACTCCTGCGGAAGGTGGTCTAAATCCCATTATATTAGAGATGCATCACTCACCATAGCCAGGAAAGACGGCTGAGGGGCCTGATGCTGAGAGAGGCCTGGAAAGAAAGAACAAGAAACCGGGCCTTCTTGGCAGTGGCCCCTCGACTCTGGAACAGCTTGCCGCCAGAGATTTGCCTGCCTCCCTCGCTGGGTGTTTTCAAGAGCCAATTAAAAACTTGGCTCTTCAGGCAAGCCTTCCCTCCTGCCAATACTTGACTTACTTTTCTTGGTTTTGCTGTTTATCCCATCTTGATTATAGTATTATTGTAGATTTTAATTGTTGTTTTTAAGTTGTTTATGCACAATATATTGTGAGCCGCCCTGAGTAGACTCTTGTCTAGAAGGGTGGGATAAAAATCCAATGATAGATAGATAGATAGATAGATAGATAGATAGATAGATAGATAGATAGATAGATAGATAGATAGATAGATAGATAGATAGATAGATAAAAGATGCGTATAGCTTTCAAGCTGGCCCTCTGTGGGGCCCCCTCTGTTGTCCTGCAAGGCCAGCCCTGTCCTTATTGGGAAGGTGGCCTGCCTGAGTCCCTGGCTCTGGCCAGGTAAGACTCACATGTTCCCACATTTTGGGTTTGAGTTGTTCAGCAGCACACACTATATCGGTGTGGTTGCAGTGAGTCCTTTGCAAGCGAGACACCCTCCCCCTCTGTACAAGGGATGGACGGACAAGGTAGGGGTGCTAGCACGGACATGATCCACACCTATGTCACATCTAGTGCAATCCAGAGACAGGAAGGACATTTGTTGCAGGAACTCCTTTGCTGTTTGGGGAGAAATGTCAGCCTACTTTCCTGAATAAGGTGCTTGACTCCTGTACAATTGGTTGTCTTCCATCTCCCATTTTCTTCTCCTTGTATCATGAGATGTTGATGTGAACTAAAATGTCAACTATTTCTTGTGTTTTAAAGTAAATAGGATTTTTTGAAATCTGTTTCTTCAGAATGTGATGTCAGTGGAAAGCTTTATCCATGCCATGGACTGCCAGGGCAAATAAGCGATTCTTGATAATCTAACATGAACTCTTGCTGGTTACTAAAATGGCTAAACTACCATCTCATGTATTTTGACCCCACCATGAGAGGCAAGAGTCACTGGAAAAGGCGATAACTGTGAGGAAAAGTGGAAGGCAGCAAGAAGAGGGAAGGACCAGACATGAGATGGATTGGCTCAGTAAAGAAAGTCACATCTTTTTGTTTGAAGTATGTGATCAGGACTGTTAATGATCATGTTAATGAATGTTTTGGAGGTGCTTGGTTTGTAAGGTTGTTAGAATCTGAAAGTCACTAGTCACTAGATGGTATAGCAATACCAATTTCTAAAGCAAAGCAAAGCAAAGCGTGCTGCTTATATACTGCCCTATAGTGCTTCAAGCACTCTCTGGGCGGTTTACAAGTTAATTATGCAGGCTACACATTGCCGCCCCCCCCACACACACACACAGCGAGCTGGATACTCATTTTACTGACCTCGGAAGGAGAGAAGGCTGAGTCAACCTTGAGCCGCTACCTGGGATTGAACCCCAGGTTGTGAGCACAGTTTTGGCTGCAGGACAGCAGTTTAGCCACTGTGCCACGAGGCTCTTTCTGTGTTTTGTTAAACTCCCTGTTTTAATGCATGTGTGTTCTGGTAGTTATTACTAAGTAGAAGGGCACTTCACATATTCCCAGTGGTCCTGAAACCTCCGTTAATCCAAGACAGAAGGACTAGGCTGCTCAGTGGGACGAACTGCTAGGATCATGTTCTGCCAGCATCCTGCCATCTGTGCTAACATCCAGCCTGATTCTGGGCACAGTTCAAAGTGCGGATGCTCACTTTTCAGACAGTGCAGGGCTTGGAGTGAGGGTTACCTGCCCATGAGGACCTTAAGGAAATTGGGGGAGGAGCTTCGTCTTGGTGAAGCTAGCAGCTCTCGGGAATAGCTCCTGGGAAAAGCTAGAACCACTTCGGTCTGGGACCCTCCCAGAAACGGGGGGGCCAAGGAAGAGTCAGGAGAGACCCTTCTGCAGCAG